TGGTGATACAGACATGGAAGGGGGTGTAGACAGCAATCAAAAAAAAGAAAAGCCATGTGGGGCAGCCCAGCCCTGGTCTGGTGTCCAATCACCCAATGTCCTGATTAACTTTATCTGGGGCCCCACCTCGTTTGGGCCACCAGCCAGCGACCAGCACTAGCTAGGGCGGCAACGCCGATCTGAGCCGGGCTTTGCTTCAAGCTCCTCGGGCCCGGTCTCGAGCTTTGCCGTGGCCCGTGACATGCGGGTGGAGTGGAGGACGGATGACCCCTTCTCACTCCTTGCCGGGAGCAGACGTGATTGGACAATTGGCGTCACCTGGGAGGAGCTTGCCTTGTCTTGTCAGTCACCGCTCTCTCTGTGGTGGTGCACGGATTTGGTGATGACATCCGCCATCTTGACAATTCCCCGTCGTTCCGATCTTGACCTTGTCGCAGCGCAAACTTCCATCTTTGGGCATTCCCCCGACCCGGAAACCCCAACCGAGGGCGCAGATTTATATTTTCGTACGCGCCGAAATATCACGGCCGGCGGCGTTATGTGGGGGTGGTGGTGCTTTGGAATCAAAGCTGGGAAGGACGGAGGCATCGGTCGGCGACGTGCGGGCAGGCACTCATAGCGGTCATTGGAAGGCCCCTCCCCCCCCCTGGCGGCCGCCCGGGAGGGGACCACCCGTTCGGGTCGCTGTTGGGCGGTGTCTGTCACACAAGCACGCAGCCTCTTTTTTTTTTTTTGTCTCTGTCTCTGTCTCTGTGCTTTCATCTCTACTTTTCTTTCCTTTTGTGGTATTTCTCCCTGAATGCTGCCATACCCGAGACCAGCAAGGCAGGTAGCCATTGTCCAACCCACCTGACAGAGACCGACGCAGCACACAATCGAGCACAAAGATGGTACATGTGAAAGATGACTGCATAAAAAAAAGAAAGAAAAAAAAGAAAAAAGACAGATGGGGCGCACAGCAAAGAGGGGCTGGCGAACAGATTTCGTCCGCGTTGCCGTCGCCGACTTGGCCGGCTCTTCTCCAGCTACTCGCGGCGCACCGAAGGAGATGGAAACGGCCCGTCCAGAGGAAGGTGGCAGCCAACGGCCGGGTGTGTCTTTGTCTCTTGTGTTTTTTCTTCTTCTTGCTATTTGACAAAGGTGCGTTCTCGGTTGGGTGGACCAACTCATTGACCCCTCCCCC